ACCCGGGGCCTCTTAGAGAGGATTTCTCAGACAGCCTTGGGCAGAGACTGCAGCCATGCCTGGTGGATCAGAAATGGGTACTGTGGAAACTCTTTCATTTTGTATATCCAGGAATTTGCTCGCCTAGGAAGCTTTTGGAGACCTCCCACATCTCGAGCATGCAGAACACAGCAGAGCAGCCCTGGTGCCCCCAAATGGTGGGACCCGAGGGAATTAGAGCCCTCTGGTTCACAGACCTCCAGAGCCCTCTGGGCCATCAATGGCAGTTTCTCTTCCCACTCCAGGGATTGAGAAGAAAAAGCTTAACAACCTCAAACTGGGAACTGGAAAGACAAAGGCAGCTATCTACCTGCACCTATGCTACCTCAGCTGAACCATAAACAGCTTGTTTCCTCTGCCTGGGTTTCAGTGTTCTCATCTGTAAAATGGGGACAATGGTATCTGCCCCTTACGTTGTACAACACTAACTAATGGATCAATCCAAGACAAGGTGCGTGGGTCTCCATTCTCATGTCTATTCTAGCATGAACCCCACAGCACCTTCTTTCATTTGTGTGTGACTTGCTCCGGCCTCAAGGTGGTGCCAGCCATGGCCACCAGAAAACAAGAGGCAAGAGCCACGTCCCAACAGGGGTCCAAGGGACACGTGATTCTGTGCCAGGCCAAGTCCATGGCCTTTCCTACTTCCAACCTAGCCAAGCGGTCACATATCCCTGCCATGGAATCTACAGCTTAGGGTTGGCCTACCGTTCCCCGACACCCTCTATATAACTGGCACAGGGATGTCCAGCACAAAGGCCCAGCCTCATCTTCTGGGTTGGTGCCACAGGAGAATCAAGCACAAGGCTGGACCCTTCGAAGGGCCTTTTGTTGGCTGATTCCTATCCTTCAGCTCTGCCTGAAGACTTCTGACCCCACCCCAGCTGCAGGAATGCCTAAGCCCAGTTCTCCTCTGAACCCCAAGACTTATTCGAGGATCCGAGAACAGAATGGGAAGGGGAGGGGCCGGGAACAGAGCAGGTAAGTGTGCAGGGCAAGAAGCAGCAGAAACAGTAATAGCCATCCACCTGTCCTGTCAACTGCACCCTTGATGCATATATATTGTTGCTGCTGCTTTTGGGATGAGTAGCCCAGGCTAGCCTCAGGATCACTATGTAACTGAGGATGACCATAAATAACCTGACCATGCTGTCTCTACCACCCAAGAACTGGGGTTCTAGGCATGTGCCGCCACACTCAGTTTATGCCGGGCTGAAGAGCCACCTCAGAGCTCTGCACAGGCCAGGCAAGCATTCCATCAGTTACTCTATGTGAAGTATTTACTGAGAGGGGTCTCCCCATGAAGCCCAAGACAGCAATCACTACCTCCTCGTCTGTCCCATACCCCTTATTCTGCACAGTAGGAGAAATGCGTGGTGCAAGCTTGGAACTCCTGAGAGGCTAGGGTCAGAGATTTACTTCTACCTGGCCAAGCAAAGTATACAGTAGATTCTCAATGAGTTCAGTTCAGCTTCGGTGACTGAGTCATCAAGAGGGAGCAAACCAGCCGCTGATGCACTGGGACCAGAGAGAAAAATGACCCTGCAGCTGGGCCAGGTTGCCAGAGCAGGCCGAGCTTGCGTCCTGCCCAGGGAGGCATGCAGGCAGAGTCCAGCACGAAACCGAAAATCCCAGGCACCTATCAACTCAGAAGTCTATGGTTTGTAGTCCAAGCTGGCCTTGAACTTGCTTTGTAGCTGAGAATGGCTTTATAATTCTTAGTCGTCATCGCCAGAGTAGTAGTTTTCTTTTTGTTTTTCTTTTTGTCTCACTCTGTAGTTCTGGCTAGTCTGGAACTCACTTTGTAGTCCAGGCTGAGCTGGTTTTGAACTCACAGAGATCCACCTGCCTCTGCCTCCTGAGTGCTGGGGTTAAAGGTGTGAGCCACCATGCCCAGCTCTGGCTGAGGATAACTTTAAAACTTCTGAGTCTCCTGCCTCTGCCTCCTGAGTACTGAAATTACAGGTGTATTCTACATGGTGATGGAGATGGAACCCAGGATCAGACTGAGCTATACCCCTACTTTTTTTTTTTTTTTTTTGAGACGGGTTCCCTCTATGTATCCTTGGCTGTCCTGGAAATCTCTATGTAGACCAGGTTGGCCTTGAACTCACAGAGAGAGACATGCTTATGCCTCCTGAGTGCTGGGATAAAAGGTGTGTGCCACCATACCCAGATTTTGTTGGTTTTAATTTTAAAAGACAAGAGTCTCACTATGCAGCCCTGGCTAGCCTGGAACTTATGCAGACCAGGCTGACCTCAAAAACCCAAAATCACAACAAGCTAGGCTGGGAGGTAGAAGAGTGGTAAAACATTTGTCTAAGATCCACAGGGCTCACGTTCAATCCCCAGCACCATCACACACACACACACACACACACACACACACACACACACACACACACACACATCCCAATAATCTGCCCACCTCTGCTTCTCCGATGCTGTGTACCACTATGCCCAGCTACTTTAAAAATTACTTATTTATTCATTCATTCATGTCTGCCTATGTGTATGTGTGTAAAACTGCTTGTCAGCACGTGCACCACCTAAGTGCGTGCTCACAGAGGACAAAAGAGGGCACTGGAGTTACAAGTGGTCATGAGCCATCTGGTGTGGGTGCTGGGAATCCAACCCCAGCCCTCTGCAGGAGCAGCAAGTGCTCTTAACCATGGGGCCATCTCTCCAGCCCCCAGCTTTATTTTTGAGACATCTAACTATACACAGCTTCCGGTGGCCTGGAACTCAGTGTATAGCCCAGGTGGGGCTCCCACTCATCAATTTATGATCCCTCTACCTCAGCATCCCAAGTACTGGGGTTACAGAAGTGCACCCCAAATCATGCTCAGTTCAACTCTTTGAATGCTGTAACCGCAGAAGCACTGTGTTAAATAGCATAGGAGAAAAGCATCTTCTCACACAGTCATCACAGCTGCCCATGGTAGGTACCATCACCTCTCCCATCTCATACAGCCATCAGAGCTGCCCGTGGTAGGTACCATCATCTCTCCCATCTCATACAGTCATCAGAACTGTCCATGGCAGGTACCATCATCTCTCCCATCTCACACAGCCATCAGAGCTGCCCGTGGTAGGTACCATCACCTCTCCCATCTCACACAGTCATCACAGCTGCCCATGGCAGGTACCATCATCTCTCCCATCTCACAGATGAGGAAACTGAGGCTTACAATGTAAAGAAAACTGCTTGAGGTTAACACAGATGAGAGAATATGGAGCTGACACTCTCAGCCTCTAGGAGACTGAATCCAGACTGAAAAGGTATGTATCAAAAATATCTTTTGGAGTCAAGTCCTCTGATAAGGTCAGCAGATAGACCCCCTGTAGGTCTGGCTCAGCTCTCACCTAGGAAAGCTCCACCTTTTCCGTTTCTTCCTCACACATGGCCACACAAGCACCTCAAACTGTCCACTCGCCTTTTACCTCATAATGTTCATCCAGATGTTAAGTGCCACAGCCATGCAGCCATCCACACACCTCTTACACAGCCCTTACGCTCACACAAAGTCCTGGGCATTTAGTGTCTAAAGACCCTGTTCCCACAAGGGTTCATCTGCATCTACATTATCCCTCCTCCCAAGACACTGATGTCTGGGTGCACACAAGCTGCAAAGATGCATGACACACACGTCCACACACTTATCTCTCTATGACAGCTCCATGTGTTCATATCTCAGAGGCACCCACATCCGATCAATGTCATACATCAAGTCCTCCCCCAACGAGAACCTTATCCATTGTTCCCAGATCCGAGACTAGGCCCAGGTGAGCAATGATGTTCCCTTCCTCTGGGGTTGGCCAGGCAGCCCAAAGAGGGAGAGAAAGCTCGGCCTGCCTGTGATGGATGGAATTAATCTACTGAGCTAGAGAAACTAAATAATTAAATCCCTAATCACCCCCCAAGCCAGCCCAGGCCAATATAGTTGAGGGAGGGAGGGGGCTCTGAGGCCCAGACCAATATCCTAGAGGGGGCGGGGGAGGTGCTTAGAAGCAAGGCTCAGGCAGAACCCTTCTTGAGGGGTCTCTCGGAAGAACTGTGGCAGGCACTCGAGTAGACAAACAGAAAAGGCTTTCCCTTTCCATCTGGAAATGAGCAGCTCAGCAAGGAAGGCTACCACCAAGTACTAAGATAAACTGGGTGAGGGCACAGCCCCTCCCGCCATCCACAGAATCCTCCCTGCCACTCTGTGAAATGGGGCGGGGGGGGGGTGCATCCTGGGACTGTCAGGGGCAAGGAGAGGGGACACTCAAAATGCCCAGGGCTGTGGCAGTCAAGGGCGTCTGCCCAAAGTGGCTGATTTCTCTCAGACCAGCCTTGGCCCACCCCTTCCCCCGGTCAGAACAAGATCTTTCCTAAGCCCAGTACAGATGGCAACGAAGAACCCCTCCACATAAGTGCACCTGCTTCCCCTAGAAGTGGGTTCAGCACGTGGCAAAGAGGCTGAGGAATGGGGTAGAGACCTGGGCAGGGGGGCTCAGGGAATCAGCCTGGGAACAGGCCCCAGTCCTATTGGTTGAAAAGTGGGTCATTTTCCTTTTGAAAAATAGTGAGAAAATGGAGAAGTAGGTCGGGCTCTCATCCCCTCAGCCCCAGGCACCACCCCCCGACTTGTATTGGGGGAACATGGAGAAGCGTGCATGTGCAAAAAACTCCATGTCCCCCAGAACCCCAGCCAAGGTCCACATGTAAGAGGCCAAGGTCGTCATTACTCAGGCCACTCAAGGACAAGCACGTTCTGTAGCCAGGACTGGAACACAGCCACACCCTCCCTTGGGGGTCTCTGGGGAGAAAGGAGTTAGGACCGGTCCAAGCTGAAGAGTGGGGACCCTAGCATAAGGGACCCTGAGAAGCCCCCTCCCATCTTCACGTTGGTCGCGACTCCTCTCCTCCTCTCTTCTCCTCCCTTTCCTCTTCGTCCACGTGGGCAGAGTCGTTGCCATGACACCGCCGGCAGGTGGGCGGCTCTGGCGGCTGTTTCGGCCCAACCCCCAAGCTCACAGCCCAGGTGGGAAGGGAGAGGCTGCAGCACCCAGGCCCTAGCCCCAAAAAGAGAGGAGAAGCAGCAGAGGGGTCCCCTCCACCCCACAACCTAGGATGGGTTCTAGTACCAGCCTCTCGATTCCAAAGCAACCCAGCCCTAGGTATAGAGGTCGGGGGTGGGGGGGGGGGGGGGGCGGGGGCACACTGAAAAAGATCTTTAGCCTTGAATACCACCCTTTCCCCAGAGGTCAAGGGAGGGGAGGGTAACCCACCACCCCCATTTCTATCTTTAGTTCTCACCAGCATGGATCACTGACAGTGCCTTGAACCTTTCTCGCTAGCAGCCCACCAGTCCTACCTGGAGTCTGACTTTAGATCCCCACTCTACAATACAAACTCAAAGCCCCTGGGCCTCTTGAGAGAGGGAGAAAATGATCTGTCAAGACACAAAGAGAAATGGCTCTCCTACTGCCAAGCCCCAGACCATCCTATAGAACTGGACCTGAGTTCACATCACAGCTCCAGGGACCAACAGCTCCAAGTATCTTTGGTTAAGGTATCTATCTATCCCACCAGGAGAAGGGGGCGGGCTGGTCAGGGAAGCTTTCGCATCTGATTGCAGGAAGTCTGAGATCTGCCTAAGCTCTCCAGCGGGCAGCTCCCACCGCCCTTCTCCTTCTGTCTCCAAGGCTGTGTCTGTGGCTCTGACTTGCTCAAGTCCTTGCTGTTGTTCGGGGTCCTGCTTGCCATCCAGCCTGGTCCCTAAGGCAGGAGCTTTGCGTCACTGACGCAATGGAACCACAGAGGCCCCGCTTAGCAGCCCTCTGCAGCCTGGCTGGCAGCGGTGGGCGTGTGTGGGTTGGTAGTGCCAAGATCCAAAAGGAAGGGAGGATGGCAGCCAGGGTTAGCTGGAGGGTGTCCAGCTTCTCATGGGGTATTTATTAGTCGTGACATACACACAGCACACACAACACA